TGCAGAGCAAGGGCCCTGTCATGTGGGCCCGCGATTTTGGGGCTTGTGGTGATTTTCGGTTGAAGACGGGATCAACAGAAGAAATGGCCAGCAGCCACAGAAAAAACCGATTGCGTTTATATTGTACTGTTTTTGGAGCATTTCCGCTTAGGAGCAGGGCGCGCAAGGAGACCAGCCTCTGTCTGGGGCACGGGTCCTATAGGAAAACCTTGTCCACCACGCGTGGTCGGGCAGTGGGCTTGCTTTGGCTACTGGGTGCCCATGGTGTTTTGATGGACCAGTTCACTTTTCAGGGGAACATGCAAACCCTCAACTACATGCGTGCCTTGATTTGCATGGATGAATGCCTGCCTTTCAGCAGAGGTTGTAGTGGTGGTGTGACAAGAGTGCTGATCTCTTTCACCTGCCCTCCCTCCCCAGGCAGCCCATGTGCTGTTTTGTGATGGAGTTATGGGGGGGCTCGGCTGCAGGTGCTGACCTGCGCAGCATCCCCCCCCCCTTTGCCTGGTGGTCCTTCCAAAAAAAGCGTGCTTGGAGAGGGAGGGTTGCATAGATGACTATTGGTTTGCGTAGGTCCTTCCTTTGTTTGCGAACTGGGTGTGATGGTGCATGTTGGCAACCATTGCCGTCGTTGCTGCCTGCTACGTGCCTGCTGCTGCTGCTGCTGGGTTTGCGCGGGGCTCGCGCAAGACGCCGCCTTCGTATTCCAAATTGACCGTCAGTTTTTGCACTTGCTCCCTGGAAGTTTTGCTACAGCATAGCGAGGTTCCTGTGACATCCACTGCATGCCACTGGCGCTTGGGATGTGCTGGAAGCATTTTGAAGCAGCAGTTGAACACATGTGGCTCTTCATAGGCTTTGCTTTGAGTCGTTCCAGGTTAGATCGTAGAGCCACGCCCATCTACTGGGGTGAGTGGCGGTGTGCCATGGGGATTTGGCGTTGCAAGGCCCACAAAACACACAAAAAGCAGAGCAAGCGTGCGGTGTGCATACGCTTGTGCTTCAGGCTGCTCTTTCACGCCGTGCTCATTCATAGTGTTTTTGTCAAAAAATGCGTTGACTGCGCGCGTGTGCGTTGAATTCTCCCTGAAGCCTTGTGCCCATACAGTGCGTTGACTTCACGCGAATACCGTTGGCTTAAACCCATTGCTTGTAATATTTGAGGCCCTGCGACCAATAACGGGCGGATTGTTAAATGAACCTGGGCATAAGGAGGTTCCAGTGGTGCCGAAAATGCGCGTAACCCCATCGGAGAAGTGGAACATGCATTTTCCTCGCATCTTCGGAGAGTTCGAAAAGAGAATACGTGATGCGGTTCCCAAGCAGAAGCTTGCAACCGGAGCTCTCCCTCATGCTGATCCTCCTCCTCCTCCTCATCATCATCCTCACCATCATGAACATGAACATGATCCTGATCGTATCCCGCCCATGCACTGTGTTGTTTGGCCAAGAATCCTCCTTTGTCCTGGCATTTTGTCTCAGGGCATTGTGGTGTGAGTAAGTCCCAACTCTTGTTCCTGTAAGTCCCAACTCTCCAGCGACCAGTATATATTCAATCAAAAGGGCCGAGGAACCTACATGTTGGGTTCCCTGTGCTTGAATGTCTGCAGCTGTGGGGCATTGCTTGCTGGGCGTGTTCCTGGCGGGAAAGTTCACGAAAGAAACAATCACACCCTTTGCAAACGAACCTGTGCTCAGTGCGACAAGAGCCTGTCGCGCGAAGGGCTCTCCAGCAGGTGTCCCCCACATCTGGAAAGCCGCTTGTGTGGCAAGGCGTGGCGTCACACAAGAGGTAATATGCTCACTACCCGAAAACATTCTTGAGATAAGCATTTTGATTCATAGAGGTTGTGGAATTTTGATATTTGCTTTCTGCAGGAAGCTACTGCAATATTCATTTCATATTGGCAACCCTTTCTATAGGGCAAACCTCCCATCATCGTCAATTGAACCAAACTCTTGGGTTATGAACTGGCCCTGCGTGCAGGGTTGAATCCGCGCGATCCGGACATCGCCGAGGATTCCATCCATGGCTGGCCAAGCAGCAGCTGCAGAAGTTTGTGGGTGGCTGGGAGAATCTGCACGGGGCTACGTTTTTTTCTCGGTCCGTGAGTCCACTAGGAGCAAGGACGCTACTAGGGGCTCCTGGCCTTACTACTAGGAGCAAGGACGCTACTAGGGGCTCCTGGCCTTACTACTAGGAGCATGCACGCTACTAAGGGCTCCTGCCCTTACTACTAGGAGCAAGGACGCTACTAGGGGCTCCTGGCCTTGCCATAGATTGGCATGGGTTCGCCCAGTTCAAGAGGTTTGTTTTGGCTCTGCGAAAGAAAAGCACAAAGGTGCCAGGGGCTTCCCGCCTGCAGGTTTGAACGAAAATGCTTTTCATTCCTCCACATCCCAAGCTGGGCTCAGCGGATCATTTTTTTCCGATTGGCAATGCCTTGTTGTGTCCGGGGCCTTTTCTGTGGAGGTCAATTTCTTTGCCTCAATCGCCTTGGTGCATGGTGTGTCTGGGGCCCTTGCTCGCCAAGGTCTGCCGCAGTGCTCGAGCACCCAAAGCCTCCAGAGACGACGACCTCTGTGCAATTTCAACAGGAATCTGGAAAGCCGCTTGTGTGGCAAGAAGTGGCATCACACAAGAGGTAATATGCTCACTACCCGAAAACATTTTTGAGATAAGCCTTTTGATTCAACGAGGTTGTGGAATTTGAAATTTGCTGTCTTCAGGAAGCTACCACTATTCATTTACGCATATTGGCAACCTTTTCTATATAGGCTAAACCTCCCATCATGGTCAAATAAACCAAACTCTTGGGTTATGAACTGGCCCTGTCCGGTCTGAATTCGCGCGATCCTGACGTCGCCGAGGATTCCATCCACAGCTGGCCAAGCAGCAGCTGCAGAAGTTTGTGGGTGGCTGGGAGAATCTGCACGGGGCAGCATTTTTTCTCGGTCCGTGAGTCCTATGGGTTCGGCAGGGTTTCCACCGCAATGTAATCCAAAGCAGACAGCGGCGGGTCTTTTTTTTTCATAAGCCCGCTTCAATTATAGGAGGAGAGTGCTAGAAGTTTTCGAGGCCATCCCTCCTCATGATGGGAGTAACATGGGGACGTACTGTTGCAGAGATGCCAGCGCAGGCCGCCATGCCCGCTTTAACCTTTGTTTCTGCGACTCCCGAATAGACTGTGTGCCTTTGTGCTCCTCGCGATGTTTGCCTTAAAGATTGTTTGCTTTGCTTTCATTTGCATTCGTGCAAGTTAGATGTGAATCCCAGGATTGCGACCGGGTTTTCTCTACAACGTTGATTGGGCTCCCATTTTCACTCAATGCTAGCCGGACCGCGCAAGACACCCTCAGACCATACAACACCAAATACTCTTCCTCGTACCAATATCATTATCCAACGTATATGCACCCATCTATCCATCGGTAAGGGCATTCGCTAACCTATTGATCCATCCATCCATCCATGCGTCTAACTTTCTGTTCAGTCTGTCTGTCTGTCTGTTTTTCTGTCTGTGCGCCGGTCTGTCTGTTTGGTTGTCTGTCTGTCTTTCTGTCTGTCTGTCTGTCGGTCGGTTGGTCGGGTCTGTCTGTCTCTGTCTGTCTGTTCCCTGTCTATCTAATTAGTATGTTTCTATCTCTGTCCTGGATCGATCTCCCTCAGGTTTTGCGATGAGGTTGGGCACTTGACTCCAGACTGCCCAGCTTTGCACAGTTTCTTCCTTGAAGATGCTGCACCTTCATGGTCGAGCCTGAAGCGAATGATGGGCAGTGGCATGGGCGCTGGCAGTGCTGGCGGCATCAAAGTTCCGAGAGAGTGGCTTGAGGACATTGATGTGCCCCCAGATGGGAATTGCTTGTTCAGCGCTATGTCTGTGGCTTTCAAACTCGCACGCAATGAGCGGGTTGGGGTGCAAGACCCGAAGATGCAAACCCACTGGGGCTTGCGAAATCGGCAGGAGCAAGTTGCATGGGTGAAGAAACAACTTGGTCAAAACTCGTCTTTCCCTCCTGACGATGCTGATGCCCCTTCCCTCTCCGCGGTGATCACAGCTTCCTCTGGACTCCAGCCATCCCAGTATTGTTTCTTGGCGCTGCATTTTTTTCTCCCGGAATGGAAAATATTCTGCACTACACATATAAGTGCCCACTGTTTTTCCCGCACTGGTGGAAGTGTGCTAGCGAATAGCGAGTGGGGCGCTAGAGTTTGTGCTTCGGTCCGTGGTTGCTTGAGGGAAGTTGTATTGACTTGGACCTGTCATGGGTTAAATGTTATTGCAGCGACGTGATGCGAAGATCAGCCCTTTCCTGATTGAGTTTTCATTCTATAATTGCCATGCTGGGACCTTATGAACATCCTCCCAAGCCTTGACTTTAGGATGTACAGGAGCCCAGCTCACAGTCATGTGGTCTGCTCGGATGAACCTCCATGGTCTTGGTAGTTTGCGATGAAAACCACCGGGGCATCCAAAAACATGGAAAACAAAGCTTGGGCCTGCCAAGGTGAGATCATGGCGACATTTGGTTCTCACAGAAGGCAGTGGGGTGGTTTCTTTGAGATTGCCGTCATGTCGCAGAGGTGGCGGTACAGGACGCACATCCTGCGAGAAGTGGCCCAGGAGTTGCAATATGTTTGCTCCATTGGCCGAGAGCACCGAAAAGAAATTTCGGTGGTGTGGACGGGGAGCCACTACAGAGCTCTTCGCATCCTCAAACAGGATGACTTTCTGAAGCTGTGTGGTGTGAAGTGAAAAGGGAGTTCTCTTGTCTTGTGCCGTTTTTTCCCGTTCTTTGGCGGGGTGCTCAGTGGATCCACCCCACCCCCTTTAGTCCTCACCCCCAGTACTTTTCTCTAGAGAATGAACCTTCACTATTCTCATACTTCTCAACTAAGAAAACGCACCAAAAAAACAGCACGACCCCATGTTCATTTTTTTCGATTTGAACCCTCATCCCGAGCGGAGAGACGAGCCGCGGTCGGTGCTCGTCCCGAGGCTTTGGCCCTTCCTTTCGCTGAAGCGACGTCCACGGCCGCACGAAGTGCTGCTCTGCCATCCGAAGTCCTCCACGGAGCAGATGTTGTTGCTACTCCTGAGGCCCAATTGAAAGCGGTTGGGCCTAAGAGGTATGATTGTCTCGTGCAATGTATGTCTACGTGTTTGAGGGTCGGGTGCGTGAATTTTTTGGTGGTCTCGTGTGTGCGATTGGGAGGAATCTGAGGAAATGCGTTTGAAAACTGATTGAGCCATATTGAGCAGGTTTCCATGTTCCTTTAAGAGATGCACGACACAGCGATCTGTCCTCACCTCTCCAAAGCACCGGAGGACGTGAGCGTCTTGTGCTGCCTGACACGTTCAATGCAAGGTCGCACACGTCGTTCGCCGTTGGTTATCTCACGAAGTCTCGGTTCCAACCTCGACGACCCTTCGGTCATCGAATCAGGTGGTGCCAGTCCTCGGAGGGCTTCTTTTGCTTGCTCCTGCCCGAAAGCAGCTCCTTTGCCGCCCAACAGACCATTGTCCAAGCGGCCACCTGACAGCATGGAGCGAACCCTGCTACGTACGTTGTGCTATACTTGTAGTGCTGTGTGTGCTGTGTGCTCGAAGACGGTGGTGTTCGGGGTCAAAACGAGCTCGGAACCGACCGGTTGACCGCAGAACATGAACAGAGTGGACTACCAGGAAGGTCAACTTACTGGAGTTTAGGGCTTCCAGTTTTGGACCCACAGCCATATTATCGTCCGACCCAGCAAATAAAGAGCTTCATGATTCGTGACCCAGTGGGAGCCTGGCGAAACGATTGAATTTGTGAACAAGGGTTGTGCTCCTTGGACAGTGTTCACTCAAACATCTATTGTGGCCTGAATGTCTCTCTATAAAGATCTGATTAAGCAAGATACTGAGGTGCATGATGCAACAGATGAGGCGAGTTGGGTTCTGCGAACGGCAGATTGCTTAGCTAGAGAAGGCAGGTAGGCCTTTAGGTTGAAGACAACACTTGGGATGTTGAGCAGCTGTGCGAGGGTTCAGGTGACTGATAACATAGACAACCGAATCTGTTGTGAAACACAGAGGAAAGGGTTCATTCATGAGGTGCATATAATTGTCTTTTTCTAATATCTCTGTTTGGTTGCCAACGACAAGAAGCCAACCAATCAAGCCATATAGCACATAGCAATTCCATGACTTCCAGAACCTGCAGTCGGGTGTTTTGTTTGGAGTGTCGAATCCAAAGGGTGAAAACAACATCTGAGAGTTGATGAGAGTCGTCATCCAGTATCCAGTATCCATTTGCAGTATCCCATGCAGTTACATACAAGACGTGATTCCAGAAGTTTCAACGTTAGTTTGGGTCATGAAGACACTTCGAGCAAGCTGTCGCCTTTGGTCATGTGCGCACCTGTGGTAGCAGGGGAACCCTGTGGTTACTGAGTTGACCACAGAGGTAAAGCGGTTGATGACCATTGGCACTTGGACGTGCTTGAGTTTGGTTTTAACATGCTTTAACATGTTCTATAACGTCCATTTGGCTTAAACCTGTTCAAAACAAGTTAAACCTGTCAAGCATTTGGACTTGTTTTATGTCTATGCTGTCAAATCTTCTCTGGCAGGGGACTTTGGCTAATTGGTCTCCCTCTTCCAATGTTACACACTGTTTGCCAGTAAAGCCTCGCAGACAAAGGCCCAGGCCGGCCCCTCCCGTCACCGGTTTTCTGCATGCGAAGAGCTCCCCTGGCCGAGGGTGGGCCATTGCCCAAGCCGCGCTGCCCGTTGATGTTGGTGATCTGTGGCGCTCAAGCTGCCCAGGCGCGGATAGAAGGAAGGTGCTTGAAGAGGTAGGGGAGTTGCGATCAAGTAGAAGGTCTTATATACTCCCAAAAGAGCAAGACGCATTCTCAAATAGAATAATACCGTATCAGATCAAAACACTATGCAGCATGGGTGCGTAAATCGGAATAGGGAGACTCCCAGCAGACCCAGCGAAGAGGAAGAAGAGGAAGAAGAGGAAGCCGATCACTGATCACCTTGAAAATCACACAGTCCCGTGATTCTTTTACCGTCCTTAGTTTCAACCACCACCTGAACCACGTTCGTTGAGCCACACACTTCGAGGCTCAGGTGGCCACGCAGCTGATGGCACACCGCGTGGAGCTGCGACCACCGCTGGAGCTCTTCGCACAGGAGGCACTCCTTTTTGGTCCGATGGTCCGGGATCGGGGGAAGCCTGGGATGACATGGTTTGAAACCGAAAACACGAAGAACGAAACTTTGGGGGATGCCAGGTATTAGTATGCTTCTCTTAATGAATAGGTTATTGGCATGTTTAGCCGTTCTATTTCAAGTGCATGAGGTTCGACACTTGAAAAGAACTGCCAACTGCCAACTGCCTGGTGTGTCGTTGCGTCCGCAACAGACGTTTTGGAAAACTTTGGTTTGATCGATTTGAAACATTTTTTGGGGGTGCGCACGGTGGGGCACGACGGAACAGAGTCGCTGACTGCTCAGAGACTTATGTTGGCCTGTTGTTTCCTTTCGACATCTTGTTGGAGGCATCCTGGATGTGTTTAGTGTTCCTGATCTCATCAGAACCTTGCTGGTTTGCTTTTTTGGCGCTTGCAGGGGCAATTAGGTGCCCCAACAAACATGCAGCAATGTATCTTCACTCTGAGGTGGTTACTGGCTGCACATGAGTAGAAACGAGTGGTATCCCCAGATCACCCAGTATTTCTGCTGAAAGCTTTGGCGATGTTGGGAGAAACTCATGATGTTCCCAAGTCAATGTGCTGACTGGGAGATGCTCAGCCCCCAAGGTTACAGAAAATCCTGGAGGGAGATGTTCAAAGCCATCGATTTGGATTTCCTAGGCGAACCATTGTTAGAACATCTCCAAACATCCAGAATTTGGCCATTAGAGATGTCCTGTTTGGATGTTATAAACTTAACCAACCCGCAACATCTCTCAATGGATCGGTTTAATGGAACATCTACCAAAAACCATGCTGTTCACCCGCCAAAAACCACGGGTGAAACCGGGTTTCCCTTGCTTCCCTGAAAACCAATTAATATATAATATCTGGAAACCTCCCAAACCAATCACTCCAAAGCTGAATGAGGTGGCTCCATGGCTCTTAGCATCTGGCGACCGAGAAGAACTCGGGATCTCAGTGCACGTGGGCCCGCAACTGGGCTCTCAACCCGCGCGGCTCTCGCGACGCGTGCGGATGGAAATGGAAAGGTGTATGGGAAGGTACCGATCTACAGATTCCAAGGACCTAGAAAACACCTGCATGGCGGATGATATCGCCTATAGGGCCTAATCCCTTCCACCTGGTCATCCATAGATAATGTAGACTGCTGATCAATAACACCTCCCCATTTTGGATTGTAAAACCTCTCGAGCTCTATATGGAGGTTTTACCGTAGTCAACAGTCTACATTGCGTAGATTGATGTAGATTGTCATTCTTCGCACCAGGTATTTTATTTCATGAAGAATCTAAGAACCGGTAGGCACCATTTGGATCCATTTGGTCATACAAGCCTGGGCAGTAGCTTCGCCATGACAAAAAGACCGGCGCATGACTCTCATAGATCATTGACCTCCTTTCCGCGATGTCGGCGACAGGCATTGCGGGTGTGGCAAGACCTTCTCCGTTCGAATGACGGCCAAGGAGGGGTGAGGGATTGGGGTGCCCTCCTGGTGCCCTCCTGTCAGGGGTGCATCCGAGTCGATAGAGTTCGTTTGATCCATCCCATTCCATCCAAGGGTCGACAACCCTTCCCACTTGTGATGGGACTCATTATTTAATTTATCTACTATTTAAAACGAAGAGCTCAAAGCCGGATCTTGATCCCCAAGCCTCCATACACATAGCTGCGCCCACTGTCAGCTTTAGACATCCAAGTGCTTGGGATAGCAGGAGGCCGACTGTGACTACGCCACGCTGAAGCTTACGGCCTCCATGGGCATTGGAAAGCTCAGCCAAGAGCTTCGCACTGCACTCGCGCAGCGAACGGTCGCCCCAGGCGATGAGGACGACGACTTGTGGCGGGTGACTGATGGATGGTGATGGAAGAGAAAATGCCTGAAGACACGATCACCAGATTTCTTATTGCTATTATTATTATTATTATTACTATTATATTATTTTTGTTGTTCTTTTTTTTTTAAATAACCATGTGTTAATCATATCCAATTGGTTCGAGGTTTGCTTGATGCAGGAGGGTCATACAATTCCTTTTCCAGCCAGAATGTTTATCATGCACGTTTCCGCCAGAGCCCCCCCTCCGTGTCCAAGGTCCATACCCACACAACACCAGAGAACACCAAGTCGCTCGCTTGATCCAAGTCGTGGATAGGTCGTGACCCACGGTGTTCGCCCAAGGGTCTTCCACCTGGTGCCAGTTGCCCAGCCCCCTGGCGAGGTGAGGGGACGCCCTGGGCGCCGCCGGGCACTAGACGAAAGCAACTCTTGCACCTGGACTTGAGTGCCTCACTCAGTTGGCTTTTTACGAGTTGTTTTTTTCCCCCAGACTGGGGGGGTCTCAGTTTTTGAAGATGGCTGCAACCTTGGGGTACATTGGCTTATCGTTAAGCATATGTTTTTCCAGGAACTACTTGGCACATGTTTTCAGCATGGCTTTGAGTTGTTGTTGTTGTTGTTGTTGTTGTTGTTGCTGTCGTTGCTGTCGTTGTTGTTGTTGTTGTTGTTGTTGTTGTTGTTGTTTTCCTTCTTCATGTAAAGTTGGATGCGGCACGATCTCGTGCAGTCCTGCACATCGGGTGATTCGCCCAGATGGTCCGTCTTCACCGCTGGATCTTCTTGGAACGGACGTGCACTCTCACTCACGTGTACACATGGTGGATGGCATGGTCCCGAAAAGAAGATTCCTGCGGTGTAACAGTGGATGGTGGTCCAGTTGCAGGCCTTGTCCAAAAACGAGTGATTTGCGAACGTTGAAACCGGGTCCTGTTACAGGTTTACGAACGGACAGACCCTGTTCAGATGGCTTTCCTTTACGAAAATCGGTGCTGGGTCTGTCATGTGAACTCCAACCCGCCCAGGTGCTGGTCAGCAACTCTTGGACTCGGAGGCCTTTGCCGTGGCACTCCTCGTGTCCCGGTGGCAGAGACACGGTCGATGCGGGTCCGAGACACCGGCAGACCAGACCACTGGCGATGAGAACAGTAGCGAATGGGTGAGTACAGGTGGGTGGTCTTGGTGAACATTTTAAGACAGAGCTGTCTTTTGCATTCTTTTGCCAGTGCTTCAGATCGGAGCTTTTGACTGTAGGAACTTCTGGTCTTGGGTCGCCTTGGCCGAACGGCTGCCCGGACACCCCAAGCGATCTTCGAACTTGAGAGCAGGTCGGGCGAGCAAGTCGGCCAAAAGCGATGGCTTGTTGGTTTTGACAGCCCCTCAAGCATTGAACCTGCAGATTGGTTTGCTTTGAACGGTGACTTGAGATCAGTCGAGAGGCTGCAAGGCACTCTTATACTTACCTTGGGGCAGAGTTTGGGATTCTGACTCCTTTGCCAAAAAACTTTCTATAATTATAGAACTTGGATGAAATTCTCACATAACTACTTGAACATCTTTGAACTTTTTGGAGACGTCCCATCCAGTTCTCATCATGTTCGCTGCCCAAGCAGCTCCCCAAGCAGCTCCCCACAGCCGCGACTGGCAGGGTCCGTGTGGCTTTGGAGCTGCCCGCGGGCGCCAGTGCGGACGGCTGGCCCCGTGCGCCGCTGCTGGGGTGGCTGCCCGTGGTGAGCTGTTCCTCCGAGGTCCAACCCGAAAAGCGGCGAAAACAGTGATTTTTGGACAGTAACAGGTGCCACGCTAGTAGTAACAAGTGCCTTACTAGTAGTAACAAGAAACTACTAGGAACAAGTGCATCGCTACTAGTAGTATGGATACGGCAGATTTACGGCAGAAGTTGGAAGATCTTGAGGAGCAAGGTACCGATTTGCCATGCAATCTGTTGAAGGAAATCCAAGTGTATCCAAGTGGTTTCAAGTGGTTTCACTTGCGGTATGCGGCGATCTTGGTCGAAGTGGGGATTTGTTGATCAACATGCCCTTTCGGGTTGAACTGCACCTCTCCCCCAACCCAAGATGACTTGCACAAGCAGCAAAGATGCTATTTTCCCTCCATTTTGTATCCTTGTCTGCCCTTCACCTTCTCTGAACCAACAAGCACACCATCTCCGTCCCCTCCAAGCCCGCTTCCGACCGGGAGACGAGGCCGCCAGCTTCCGCGCGGACGAGGCGTCGCTGCGCTTCGGCATGGGCGCGGCCTTCGCCTCGGCCAGGCCGTGGGGGGGTGCGGTGCGGCCTCGGTGCATCGGTGCGGCATCGCTCATGGCTAGATCTAGTCAGATCCAGTCTGTTTCATGAGTCTGCTCCATTTCAGTGGAGACCTGCCAGGCCCCAAAGAAGGAATATATGACCAGGACTGGGGCGCCAAAAAAGATCGGGGGGGTCTCCCGAAATTTTAAGATACTCCCAGGTGAAGATGGGCGCTTGACATTCGGTCCTCCTCTTTAGGTTGTGAGGGTGCCACATTGTATTGAATCCAATGCTAGGGACTAAATAATACTTTTAAAGTTTACAAGTTTACTACAATATGCCAGGGCCACTAGAGTGAAAACCACCTATATGAGACTCAAGAGATGCTGGGGATCGGAAAAAAGATCACAAAAAGAGAAGCTCCAAGGCCTCCCGGGAGAGGCGGGTGGAGGCCTCCAAAGTACTCGCTGGTTCCTGGCAGTCCGCGACACCAAGGCCGAAACAGGGCCATGTGAACATGTCTACTGGTCCTAGGAGCCTGCAATGTCATGACTTTTAAGGTTTTTCAAGCAGAATAGGGAGCAACAAAACACGGAATGCATGAAAACAACACCTTGGATGAAACTCATTGTTTTCGTCAGACATGCCTGTCTCTCAAACATCCCGACGCAGGCATGATGGAGTCAAGGATGGAAGTCCTGCAAATGCTTACCGGCGCCTTCAGTTCGTGTGCGGTGCTTTGGCCACTTGCTTGAACAGCGGAGAACAGTACGTGGACAGCGGAGAGACGGGCTTGCTGGTCTTGTCGCATTATGTGATGAGTGAAGAATGAACTGTACCAGTTTCCATCCAAAAATTACCAATTGCGTATCAAAGAAGGGTTTGTTTGGTATTCGACCTTGCTCCAGCAGTACTGTCCATATGGGTTCGAGGATGTTGGAGGTCTGGAATAACCATTGTGCGACAGCTGAAACTTCTCATGCCGTGGGTGTTATTGGCAGATGTGCCAGTCCGTTAGGTTTGCTTCCTGCTGTGCAGGTGTAGGTTTGGATGTCCATTTGGTGCCTATTGACAAGATTTGGACTGGTGACTCTGCGACATCTTGTGTTCCCTTCGTGGGCAAAAACTATTTCTGACGAATCCCTGTTGTGCAATCATGTGCAATCAGCCTTGTGTAGATCCATAATCATCCATAATCCAGATTGTGCCAAATTATGGTTTCAGAGAGGCACTATCCACATTTGATGCTGAATTCTCAAGCTGCCAGTTTGTCCAGCATGTTTCATTCACAGCCCCACGTCACCCAAGTGGCCCCTGCGACCTGCCCGTAAGTCTCCCAAACACACGCTGAAAAACTCCTCCGGCTCCTTCTCCCGCCCGACTCCGCCGACTCCCGCCTGGCTCCGTCTGATGTCGAGGCCGTCTCCAAGCGTCTCAAGGGCGCCTTTCCGCTGCACTTCCGCGCGAACGACCTCACCGAGCTGTCGGGCGAGACCTGCTACCAGCTGTGGCGCGGTGTACGGGTTTTGGCGGTCGCGTGGGCGCCAGCGGTGCGGTCGGGGCGGGGTTCGACACGGTTGGCACCAGCTGTTTCGGTCTGCGAAACGGGAGGGGGACGAAAGGACGTGTTTGACACCGGGGCATCATGGGATTGACGGAACTGGTCGGAGCGGTCGGGTGTTTGGGGAAGATCGACGCTTGGGGCTTGGGGAGGTGGCGCTAGGCTTTTCAAGTTCCAAAGAAGATACTGCAGACGGGACTACCCTACCCCTCCAAGTAAGAGTAGTACTGAGTAGTGAGTAGAGGTTTGCAGGGCTTCTCCTGTAACGAACAGGGTGGGGGGATGTTTGCTGGCTACTCCTTGCAAAATGGTACCAGCCAACCTCACCGACATCATCAGCCAACATCCCCACTCCGCCGGCGTCACCGTCTCACCTTAGGCTGGTGGAGACGGCGAAGCTGCAGCTGCGGCCCTCCTTGTGGAACCTATGGGCCTTTGTGGATGTGCTGTACTGGCAGCTCAAGGAGGCAAGAAAACGGTGGCGATTCTGCAATGCCCATTGACAGCACACATAGGTTGGCATTTCAGTTATTAATAATTCCATTAGGATATTTTTAAGATACAATATGTCTATAAGCCTTAGGTTGATGTTTGCAAGTTTGTTGGGGGATGAGATGGATGGAGATGGCACAGGGAGATGGTGTCAGAAGATCATGCTGGTGCGGTCTTCCTTCAATGGTGTCCCAACGGCGCAGGTGCATCATCCCGAGTCCGTGGCCAATCAAGCCTGTCTTCCGGAGGACGACTTGGTGCGGCACCGATGCCGCACATTGCGGCAAGATCAGGGGACAGACACTGCTCGAAGTCAATAGCCGAAGGTCCACTTCCCCCCGTTTGGCAATAGTAAGGATCATGGTCGGATTTTAGGGCAGGCCGTTTTTTTGGGGGCAGGTGTGTGGTGACCTGCGGTCTGTGCCCCATGAATTTGTCAGGAGGGAGCTCCCATGGAGAAGCCCTTGGATGAGATTCAGCCTGAGGATTGCCCCATCTTCAAAGGCACGGTGCGTTTTGCAGGGTGAAAGGGTGTTTGGTTTCTTCGCTTGTGTTGTTTGAATGGCAGAAAGCCAAACAAGAATGGAGAAGAGGATCCTATCTTGAAGCCACACATAAGGATAGTCCTCTTCGAGCTCAACAAGAGAGAGAGAGAGAGAGAGAGAGTGAGAGAGAGAGAGAGAGTGAGTGAGTGAGTGAGTGAGAGGGAGGGGGGAGAGATAGAAACAGAGAGAGAGAGAGTCTCAGCAGCAGGTTTGTTTGCACCTCAGATTCATCTCAGTAAGTTGTGTAATAACTGTCGCCCTTAACCGCTACGAGTCACACATGACCCCTCTTCCAGCCGTCTCTTCCAGCCGTCTCTCCGCCGTCCAGTACTGGTCAGTCTCTGTTTGGTCCAAATCATTCAATACAGGACCTTGTGACATGATGTTGCCAGACAAGCTTGTGGAGGCATGGAATATCATGGAATATCATGGAATGACGGAGATTTGCTAGTCCCCTCTCATCGAGGTTGGCAGTGGCAGTAGCCAGACAGAGTATCGACCTTGGTACACTCACAGGACGGTAAGAGGATCACATGACGTCTATGTTTTTGTTTGGTTGAACATTCACGCAAAGTATAATAGAACTATTTGCAGGACAATCTCTGGCAGCACCTCCATCTCTAGCCAGCTCTCCATTTTCAAGACATGTTAATATAGAGAACATTCACCTGGGTTCCTGGATGGCGGGTTCCTCGATGGCGCAATCCAGCGATTGGAGTTTCAGCACGTTGCCTTGGATGGTCATTGGTAGATGTTTTTTGTCACTTTAGTTCGTCAACATGGAAACATGTGGTACCAATGCCGGGCTTTTCTTAGGATGATTTTTCTATATTTGTCTATTTTCCCAATATGTTCCCTATGGGTGAATCTCCTTCTGGGGAATATGTTTTTTTCTATTTTTCTCTGGTTCCTTAAGCAAATCCAAGAATGGTATCCCGAACAAATGCTCCGAACATAACTTATGACAGGGACCTCTGGTGTTGAACTTTTTTCTTGTTTTTGGTGGCGTCTTGTCATATCATTGCTGGTCTTCTGCAAAGGGAACCGGGTGAAGACTGGGAAAGGTGATTGTATTCTGCTTCATCTCAGTGTGCCAGGTGGTTTTCCTTCAGCTGTATTCCTTTGAGTGGATGGCTTCTCCCTGCTGACGCCTCCTCGAGCAGACACCGGCGGAACTCGTTAGAAGCTCCGCTGCCGGAGGAGGTGCTGGAGATTCGCGTGGTGGGCCTCGATGGTGAAGGTTTTCGACTCTTGGGCGTGCCAGAGTCGTTGTTGGGCCGTCATCTGCAGAAGATGATCAGCGAGCGGCTACCGGCCAAGGCCGGTGCCCGCGTCTTGGTGCAGAAAGGAGCTCAGATGTTGTCGCCGGCGAAGAGCCTCAAAGAGCAAGGCCTACATCGCTCTGAGGCGGAAGAAAGTGAAACGGATTCCTGTCTGCAAGTGTCCTACATTTATGGACCCAGCAACTTGCAGAATGCCTATCGATTCATCATAGGCTTGCCTGTTGAAGAGGAAGAAATTGCCTTAGAAGGCCTGACGCTGCTCAGCGGGATGAGCTCGCTGAATCAGCTGAGAGAACTTCCTGCCAGCCTCAGGACTCTGGCATTTGGTGAAGATTTCAACCAGGGTTTGGAAGGACTCCATTGGCCGAGCAACATGAAGAGCCTTACTTTTGGCAAACAATTCAACCAAAGATTGGAAGGAGTGACCTTGCCAAGCAGCCTGCAAAGTCTGACGTTTGGCGAGAACTTCAACCAGAGTTTGACACGTTTGGCTTTTCCCAGCAGCCTGCAAAGTCTGACGTTTGGCAAGGCCTTTAATCTGAGCATCGATCGAGTCACTTGGCCTCCAAATCTGCTGCATTTGACCCTGGGCGATCGTTTTGATCAGAGTTTGCAGCGTGTCACACTGCCCAGAAGCCTCATCAGCTTAGAATTTGGGGATCACTTCAACCAGAATCTCGAAGAGGCGATCCTCCCAAGCAGCCTCAAGAGCCTGAAGTTTGGACTGGGCTTTAACCAGAACTTGACACATGTCTCTTGGCCCAGTCACCTGGAAAGCCTCACCTTTGGCAGCTTTTTCAACCAAAGTTTGGAGCGAATGGCCTTGCCCGACAGCCTGCAGACCTTGGTCTTCGGCAGTGGATTCGATCAGACCTTAGAGGAGGTCACTTGGCCCAGTGGCCTACGGACTTTGACCCTGGGCAATCAGTTCAATCAGAGCCTGGAACGAGTGGCCTGGCCTCCGTGTCTCGAGCACTTGAGCTTTGGGAATCAGTTCAACCAAAGCTTGGAAGGAGTAGCTTGGCCCAAGAGCTTGAAGACCTTGACCTTTGGCGAGCTGTCTTCCTTCAACCAAAGCTTGGAGAGAGCCACCTGGCCTAGTGGTCTCCAGAGTTTGACCTTCGGTTTCGGATTCAACCAGCCTTTGGAGGAGGTGCACTGGCCGGCGAGCCTGCTACATCTGAAGTTCGGGGCACGCTTCAACCAGAGATTACAGCAGGTCACCTGGCCAAAGGCTCTTGAAAGCTTCTTCGTGGGCAATGGATTTGATCAGACCTTGGCAGCTGTGGCCTGGCCCAGCAGTTTGAAGACGTTGATGCTCGGCCATGCTTTTGACCAGAAGCTGGAGCACGCGACCTGGCCCCCAAAGCTTCAAAGCTTGACCCTCGGCAATCGCTTCAATCAGAGCCTGGAAGACGTGAATTGGCCCGAGAGTCTAGAGACTTTGAAGTTTGCCGGCGGATTCAACCAGTTTGGCAGTGGATTTAACAAACCCTTGCCCCACAGCTGGCCCCCAAGACTGCAGAGCCTGACGCTTGGGGATTCTTTTGATCAGAGTTTGGAAGGCGTGAGGTGGCCTGCGGAGCTCCGGTGCCTGACCTTTGGCACTCGCTTCGATCAGTCCTTGCAGAAGATCACGTGGCCTCAAAGCCTTGAGTCGCTGACCTTCGGCAATCGCTTCAACCATCCTTTGCACCGAGTGGTTTGGCCGAACAGCCTGCAGAGTTTGACCTTGGGCAATCAGTTCAATCAGAGCTTGAAGCGAGTGGCATTGCCCAGCAGCCTGCAGAGGCTGACTCTGGGCTGTCCTTTCGACCAGATCTTGGTAGGAGTGACTTTGCCCAGGGGCCTTAAGCTCATAGACCACAATGGTCTCGTCTTGAGTACACTCTCAGATGCTTGATATTCACTCAGATGTTTCAATGCTCATCAATGCTCTCTCTGCGAAAAACAAAAAAACACATGCACAATGACTCTGTGACTCGTGGCGCACGAAGACAAAATGGATGTCGCTGTGTTCCTCTCATGTCTCGGCGGAGACCACGATGTCGGACCTCTAACCACGTGTGGCTTGTCGGCTCGTCTGTGTGTTTTGGGACCCCATACACCTGGTATTTGCTCGACTTGGAAGTAGATGGCACTAGACGACACTCAGTTCGAAGAGCTGAGATACCTTGAACAAAACCACATTCCAAATTCAATCTGTATATATATATATTCTCCTGGTGCCAGTTCCCCGCAGCCAAATATCGCCTCTCATTCGGACTGTCACAGTTTCTTCAGACTTCAGTCACTGAAGAGTCTCATCTCCGTCAGTCTGGCTGTCCTTCTTCTACTCCTGATCCGGAGTCTCAGGAGCCGCACACATCCGCAGCCACGTCCACTTTAGTCCGATATTTGGGAGCCGAGACCTCCTGCCTCCAAGCAACCAACCAATGGCCAATGGATGCTTAATGGATCAGCTGATTTTTCCCGTAAGCAAATCCAGGTAGGCAATTTGTATAGGCAACCCCTGCCCAAGAAATTCCGTGCTTGAAGGCAAACCATGACAAAGCCATGCAACCCTCCACATATATCCTTGGATTTTGAGCTAACCTTCACCTTTGACATCTTGACCCTCAGGCGAGTTGATTGCCTTCATCTTACGCACGGCCCGGGATTTCGCCACCCGGCAGACCAAAAACAACGAGGCGCGCGAGGCGTTTCGTTTCCTGGGTGTTGGAAAGATGGACCGACGCAGCGGCGGTTTTTGTGGACTCTCTCCGAAGTCAGGCCTGGATGCATCTAGACTACGTGGAGAATCCTACCTCCGTTTGATCCTTTCCTCTCAGGATAGAGTGCCGTTTTGGCCAGACAGGCTCGCGTTTCTTTTGGAGCGGAAACCATTTGAGACAGCAAGAAACTCAGCGCAAGCTGCCCGGGGGGGTCCCCAGACCTTCAGTTTGGAACTGTGGAACTTCAGGTTTGGGTCACTTGTCTTACGTGGCCAGGAGTTTGGGGATTCAATCGTTTGTGGCCAAAACTCCTTTTATATAACTTCTCTTCAGACTTTGGGTACAGGATCCTAGTAGATGGAGATTTGTTCCTGGATCAGATAGCGCTGAACATGGGTTCGTTCTGAATCCTTTCATATCCTTTCCACAAGTGGTTCTTGGTGCTTTCGGTTGCCTTTTCCTCTGGATCTCATGGCTTTCCACTCCAATGGCCGTGCACGTCCTCGCCCTGCATGGCTGCCACGTGGTGATGATGTCCATCGACCGGCAGGTGGATCCGGAGACGGTGGTGGCGGCGGACTTGGTCAACTTTCACCAGGTGAACCGTCGGGACGACCCGTCGGACGACAGGATCGGCCGGACGCACGGGGTCGCGTCGCGCGGCTCCAAACCCCAAAGACGTGGTCGCCCAAAGACGTGACACCGTGGCCAGTGAGTCGTGTTCTATTTTTTGTTGGTGCTTTTTGGTTGTGATTGGGTCATCAGAGCAGTGGCACAAGAATCACCTACTGCTCTGATGTGGGACCCACTTGCGAATCACCCTTGGTTTGAAGGGGGTCATACCCGAACCCAACTCCACATCACCGGACCGTCAGCAAAGTATGCATTTAATTTTGGTGAAGTACGTTACTATGAGGCACCCAACCAGTAAGGATTTTCAAGTTCCTCATTTTTGAGATATATACCCTGGACATAGCTGATGGACCAAACCGGCCATGTTTAACCACCTCACCCATCGGACATCATTGGACGTTTTTGTCCAGGATCGCTTCTGTGGTCGTTGGCGGCTGCAGCCCTTCTCCAGCGACGGCCATCCGGTCTTCTCGCGCTTTGACAAGTCGGAGAAAGGCGCGACTGGACGCCCAGCCGGCCGCGCGGAGGGGCGACGGGTCGGTAAGGAGGAATTAAGGATGGAGGACTGGGGAAGGGGGGATGGGGAAGGCTACTAAGGTTTAGGGAAGCTGTAAAAGTACGCTACGTGCTGGATGCGGGCACAACATGGAACACGATCAGTATAGCCATGAATACCTGGAGATCCCAGTTCCTGTGTTGGCTAAATATGGCTCTATATTGAGGGTAGTAGCTGTCTAGGCACGGGGACCTTCTGTGGGAAATGGAAGAGACCACTGCCAGACAAACCATTTCTACTGGGCATCACAGGAATTGGCCGCTGCAGCATCCTGTTTTGGACCCATGTAGCTTTGGGTCACTCGTTTGCCACCCCCCCCCGGAAAAAATACAGAAACATGCAACATATTCAAAACTAAAGTAAAGATGAACAGACCAGTAGCAGACCAGTACTACCAACCCAATGCTTACTTCTAGGTGTTTGCCAAACACTTTTCAGACTTGGTGAGGGAAGCATACACCGGTTTTGAGCCATCGCCTGCGAAGCTTGAGAGGCAGCGGACAGTTCTTCCTCTACTACCGGGCCGCCCAGAAGTCGCCTGGCAAAAGGACACCCTGACTGGTCCCCACCAAGAATGAATAGAATAGACTGCATATTTTAGTAGGGGGACCCCCAACCAACCAGGTCAACCAATGGGTAGACTTCTTCCAGGACGTCTTTGGGAGGTCTCCCTGTTACTCTTATCTGACATGGTCAACCTCCATGAACGACTATGGCTCTGAGACCACAGGCTATGCGGCTATCCAGAACTCCAACGTTTTGCTATTCGCTTCTTCAAGCCGCAGCGAACCTCCGCTTCGACCCGGGGGGTGACGAGTCCATCGCTCCAACCAGCGACCCAATTGCTTCGGGGAGCGGATCGAGGATGTGGACCATCGACGCAGAGGTGGATAAAGTGGCGCCGGCCTTTGCGCCGCACGGCGGAGATCGACGACGGGAGGGGGAAACATGAAGGGACACGCAGATCGCGGGGGACCGTTTTGGGGTCATCGGCGGAATGGGAGGTCGAAGGTTTGGAGCGACGGGGAGGAGGTGGCGCCACGGGTTACGCCAGGTTTTCAGCCATTCTGCAGCCGAGCTGGAAGACCATGGTTGCGTCGAGTGACTCAGGTACACTCGGAATTCCAACTACAAGAAGGGCTGGTGGCGTATGGCATCTTGGGTCCCTTGGCGTTGGGGCCATGGTTGCTGAGGCTGGAAGAAGTTGTGGGGGGCCATGGCTGGTGGCTGGTCCGGGTTGCTGGGTGTTCCCTCAGGTGCAGGAGATGCATCTCGCATTTTGTTTTTGTTGGTAGGTGCGCACAGTGTTGATTAGGGGGCAGGAAGGAAACCAAACCGCAGGAGTTGGGATGGCTGGCTTCAAACATCTTGGGCAGGTTCGGCAGTAAAATTCATTGTAAAACTAACAGATCTGGCCATATCGTCAGGGCGGCGGTTGTCACTTTTTCTCCCGGACAATGTGAACCGCCGGCCCAGTCGACTGCACAAATTGTTCGACCGTTAACTGGCTTTGTTCACTGAACGGACGACGCACTCTTTTTTGCATTGGGATGCGCCGGGTGGGTAAGTGATCCGGCCACTTCCCAGGTGGTCAACAAGGGCATGCGCGTGCTGACCGCGGAGAATGCCGCATGGCGGACGAGGGGGAATTGCGCAAAGGAGACTGGCACTAGCTATATAAATGGAGGATGCTTCTGGATAATGCAGGTTTGATTTGTGAATGAAGGCTTATATAGGTTGAACAATTGCTGGCATGTTTTTGATTCTATAATGGGTACATATAGGTACTGTGTAAGATACTTGTTGCTCATGTGCCAAACTGTTTGGAAGAACCGGTCGTTATCAAGGAATGGAACGACACCCTTCCGAAAACCGTTCTCAAAGTTATTTCAAGATACATACCAAGCTGGTTTCTCTCTAGAGATGAATAAATGGGAAACTTATTTCATGACATGGGTTGCGCAAAGAAGTGCACTGCCACAGCCTCCTGGACTTAAAAGAAAGGGGTTCCTCCATGGCTGGCTGGCGGTTTTGGTCTTTGTCTTCCGGGCAGATAGGAGGCCAAGCATGTTGTGCCGAGAGAGCAATGCTCTGAACCAACATATCCCATTCTTTCTGTTGTCTTATCCACGGAGTACGACAGGGCTCATGTTCGTAATGTGGATCTCGGGGCATGATCGACCAACAAGGGAAGATTTGTTCAACTCCACACATGCCCCTTTCCCATGGGGGGGAAACGATGATATCCTGCTCAGAGGGCAGAAGAAAGTGGCTGAAAGATGCTGAAAGATCACTTTGTTGGAATGTGCGGATGATTTCTGCACGGATGCCCAAAAGGGTTTAGAAGGGAACTGGCTTCGGCTGAAAGAATCAAGCTCCACAGGCTCACCCTGAGTGGGGGGCGTCCGGAGATTGGCTTTGAAGTCAGCAACGGTGTAAGTATAGATCCTGGCTGCTCAGCGTTGTTTAGTCAACTAGTTCATCAAGTTTCCTGATATTTTCAAGGGATACACCCGGGACTACAGCGTAGGTGCACACGCACACAAGCATCAGCAGCTCTTTAGAAACTGCATGTGTACAAACGTCCATAACTTAAATGAACGGCAGGTAGTGCATCACTGCAATGTGTACTCACCAAAATTTCTGGTAGCCATAGTCTGCTGTTAGTTCCAATGCTGACGGCATGGCACGGATCATGTGGTTTCTCCCGCGCGTGCGCCACGTGGGCCCTTGCAGCGCGAGACTTCACTAGTCAGCAGCTTCCCAGCCCAAAAGGTGGTTGGTTGGTGAGTTCGTTTGGCAGGGTTTGCAATACCAGAGGAGAAATTTCCCATGGGACTTTCCATCCTAGTGGCTACAGGGTCATTGCCATTTCTGGAAAGAATTGGAAAGTCCATCGCGTGGTGAAGGTCACATTTCACGGACTTCCAAAGTCTCCGCAAGCCTGGCAAGTTCATCACGTAGATAGCGACAAAGCCAACAACCGCCTAGACAACCTGGAGTATGTGACCGCAAGTCAAAATGTGTATCACTCATACTCTAGCGCTTCCAGACGCAACAACAAGCTTGCACTGTCGCAGCCTGTGCTGTGGAGACTTGTTGGGTCCACAAGCTGGACAGCTTCTTCCTCGATTACTGCAGCATCTCAGCAGCTGGGGATGAGCAGACAGACAGTGTCAACACGCAGCCGGAACCAGTCTGCAGCAAAAGGCTACGAGTTCAAGTTGCAAGATGCCAGCCAGCATAGGTTGCCTGGCGAAGAATGGCGACCGATGCTGGATCCGAACTCAGGTGCCAAAGTTCCTGGAAGGATGGTTAGTTCACTTGGCCGAGTGACATCGCAAACGGGGTTGAGAAGTTATGGGTGCTTGTCCCCAGAAGGGTACTATGTCACTGGACTACGCATTTCACGAGTTCGTACTGTTATCGGTGTCCATCGCCTCGTGGCTTTTGCGTATCTTGGGCCACCACCTACTCCAAACCAGAAACTTGTCAATCATAGAGACCTCGACAAAGGGAACAACTCGGTGAGAAACTTGGAATGGGTTTCTCCTGCTGAAAATGTGATTGACTTCTATTCCAAATCAGTTGCTGAAACTAGGACTTCTGCAAAGCCTGTTTGGAGCCGGCCTCATGGAGCTGACGATAGGTGGACACGGCATGACTCCATGGCAAGAGCAGCGCATGAGCTTGGGGTTGGCAGGCGCGATATTTCTCGCTGTATTCGACGCAGCCTACAGCAAGTTGATGGATTCGAGTTCCGGCTTGACAAGTTGTCAGAGACATGTTCGCTGCCAGGTGAAGTGTGGCGACAAGTCAATGTTACTGCCCTGCTGCAAGACAAGGAAGCACGCAAGCACGGTGCAAAGTGATTCTGCCTGAAATTGAAGGATTCATCATGCTTACACCCGCGCCTCCACCTTGGCCACAAGGTCATAATCCTGCAGCACTTTGAGACTGATGTTAGTATTTATTTGCAAGTTGCGTAGCTACAGGGGGAAAACACCATGGTCTCAGCTCCAACTGGAGTTCCAGCTTGGGCAGATGTGCTGATGAAGAGTGGCGATACATCGATGAGTCGAGGCCGAGCCACGTGTGCCGTGAAGAGGCCGAGCCTCAACGTTTTTCCAATGATGGTATTGTTGGCCCATGTTGGCCCTTACGACTCAGAGTTCGAACAGAACAGGTCTTTCAGACCGTCTCCAAAACGTTTTGAATCGGGTGTCAGAGGTCAACCACCTGGTACCTGACTTGGGACATTGATTGCTTGACTTGAAAAGTATTTGGGTTTGCTCGGAAGGTGTTGGTAGTCCTTGGTACACACATTCTTGGGACGTGGACCTGCAGTCTACCGCAGCTGGTTTTGAGTGAGGTGTGAAGTCCAAAGTCAGTGTGCGATGAATCAACAGTCAACAGAAACTGTACGGAGTGCGCCAAATTGGTTGAGTCCCAGCCTGCCAGCTCTCCTTTTTCGATGCTGAATCAACAGACTGCTGTGGATTTCACGCCTGGGTGTCTCCAATGATGAAGCACAAACAAATTGGACTCTTGCCACATCTTGCAACTAATATGCAACATCTTTACGCCTTTGGGTGGTTTTGGGCTTTCATTTCGGATGAACAGACAGAGTTATATTGACACGTCCTGGACATTTCCCGCTTTCTTTCGTTCTGGGGGGCTACAATATATCACCTCTTGGTGGGCAACATGGTGCAAGCTGTGAGGATTGATCGACAGAGCGATCTTCCAGGAGGGAACATACAGAGTTACGTGTGAGTTTGGGAGTAGATGGCACCAAATTGTAGATGTCCTGAAGAGATGGGCCATACAAACTCAAACTTGGGGGCTGCGCAGACATGCCATCGACTCTGAATCCACATGTGAGTTGGCAGCATGGGTAATTGTTCAACAGGTGGGGTTTGGTGACTCAGGGTGACACCGTCGGCTGACCAGCGGGCCATCCGACAAGGGGGATAGTCGGATAGACCGACAGGCTTTTTAGAGCCGTGCGGGCAGGTTCAGAACTCCTCGACTCCTAAGATGGACACATCTTGAAACCTAGTAACAAGTGCATCGCTACTGGTAACAAGGGCATTACTACTAGTAAGAAGAAGCTACTAGCAAACCCCAAATCCGATATCTCACGAATCTGGTGGCGCCGCTGACGAGTCCACATGAAAGCGGGACATCGGGATATCTGACGAATCCACCGAAGGTGAGTGTAGTCTCACTTCCTTAAAGTGAGTCAGCTATCAGCCATTGATGACATGATGACATCTCCAGAATCCGCAGGAGGCCGTGAGGTGCTTATTCCCCCCCCCAAAAAAAAGACCTCTGAACGGCAGCCTCTCTTCATTCCCCTCCGTCCATGCCATAGGTCCGCACACGTCGGTCACGTCTGACACGTGTCACGCATCCGAGCCAATGAGGTGCTGGGCTTTGGGTGTCAGGCCTGGAAAGGGGCAAAAGCCGAGGTGTAAAGAGGGGAACGAAGGATCGTGTGGAGACGGCGTTTTTTTTCTTTCCCGTTTTGTTTTTCGGTGGTTCGAGATCTTTCGATATCTCCGTGTCTTTTGAGCAGGATCCGATTTTGTTTTATGTTGAGATCTTTCTTTGTGTTCGAGGTGTGTTTGATGTTTTTTGCCTGCATGCTTGTGAGGTGTTTCGAGGCTATGAAGCGTATATCTTCCAGCCAGTGTTTTGATAAGAATTATGAAGAAGTAAGAATGCGAGATCAATGACAATTCTCCAGAGAGTTCCATCTTCCACCATCAGCCTACATCCATGCTCGGTCAACAACATATCTGCCCAGGTCCACCACATCAGAACATGTCCACAAAAAAATCTGCCCAACCAAAACATACCCCAAACCCAATCGAAAATTCGACACCAACGATCCCAATCATTCAGTGGCATTTCTAGCGACCCTTTGATTTTTGCAGTCGCTTCAGAACACCGAGCTACGAAGCGACACACCGAGCTTCGCAGGTCCGTGACACCGAGCTTCGCCTTCCGCCGTGCGTCTTCTCCGCCGTCTCCGCTCTTCCGCGCGGTCTCAGGCGGTGGTTGTCTCGGGGGTCGATGAACAGCTCACGGGATCCCCCGAGGACGTGGTGGGCGCCCTGGGCTCCCACGATGGGCTCGATCCAAAGCGTCGTGGGTGTTTTTGGATGGTGGAGTCATGATCAAAAGGCCTTGGACAAGTTGATTGGGCTCAACACTTGAGGTCGAAACCACACGCTATCACACGCTACTCCGCGTGGTGTTGAGCCATGTTTGATCGTGTTTGGACTCTGTCGTAGCCATCTTGGTCCAGCGTTGGTGGATGCAAGGGGTTTGGAAACCTTTCCAAGGCGATCATTGAATGGTTGAACCATACCGAAGAGGTGGGATTGACCATGCTACATGATGCTCAGGAGGGCCCTACAGGGCCTGGGGTGTTTCACGAAGATTGCTCGAGTATCAGTGGTGATTGTAGGGCTAGAGTTTGTTGTCGTTTGCTTGTTGGTGCATACATGCATAAGTGGTGAAGAAACACAAGATCGTCTCCTTTGTGCCAGGCCGTTTCCATGTGCTTTGTTACCTTGAAGGCAACATCATAGTCCACCTATAATCGCTTCATGTTGTGCCGATCCTAGTGCCGCACATGTGCGTGTCCTCCTGCAGGAGTACCTGGTACCGTTGAACGGCACTTACCTTCGACAACCCAAGGAAGACGATGTGAATGGACGGGCGCATTATGTTTTGGATGCTTGGATTGGGATTTGACGAGGCGTACGAGGCAATCACCATGGGTATACCATATGCCCCTCATCCATAAGAAACTACAAGTAACGAACAGTAATTATATAATCAGATCATGTAGAGCTTAAGCAGCCTTGTGCAGTAGTTGTTGGAATTCCGTGTAAATCATTAATTTGCAGCTAGCGTGTGCAGATTGCAAGCGCAGACAGTGTGCAGTAGCCCTTGCCTGCAATGCTGCTTTGGTGCACCCAAGCACTCCTGCACGAACACATGGATACCCATATATATATATATATATACAAAGATGGTAAAATTGATGTCATTTGCAGGGTTTTGTAGGATAGACTTTGGAGTGGACACTGCCACATAGGCGTATAAGCATTCTCCAACTCCACAAGTGTTGCTCTCTTTGAAGACGCACAGACTATAGGTGTGTGTGTGTGTGGGGTGACTCTCCATCGCCATTCGTGACATTCTCCTTCAAACCCTTTCGCCAATGCGGATCAAGCAGAAGGGGGGGGTAATCGATTAATCCACAAAGACAGAAAAGTAGATCCCCACGTTCAGAAGGTCTTGGAAACCGTGCCACGGTCATCTATTTGGAGACCACAGTTCTGTCGATTCACAGTTCTTGGGAACAAACTGCAGAATGTCCTGCCGCCCTGGGCCGAGGAGAAACCACGGCGTCACCTCTTCTTTGACGTCGGTGTCTTGACAGACGTCGGTGTCTTCTTTGACCTGTTTTGAGTTCTGGAATGTTCTCACTCACTGTTGAAGCGATTGAAGAGGGTTATCCTCTACGAGGGTGAGTACCATGCTACTGTTTGGATGACAGGCTTTCCTTCCATTGGTGTTGAGACAAGTGTTCTTTATGCCTAGAGTGAACTCTCAGCACATCAATACATTAATTTTGCTGTGAAGCTATTTGTGGCAGTGTTCGTCTCGATATTGTTGAGGGTGAATTTAGAGAGCATGTAATGTTTGGCTAATCTTTGGGAGATCGATCATGCATTGGTTTGAGTTTTGCTGGTTGAAAGCTGCCTACTGGTAGGACAGTTGAATTTGAGCATTATCCAAAAAAGGAAAGTAGTAGGGTTCTTTTCTATATGTCAGACCAATATTGGGAGTTGATCACAGAGTATCAACCCACCGCGGCGATTAGCGTTCATAGTCTTGTGACTAGTCACACCTCCATGGATGTTCCGCACAGTATAGCGGCTCTTTGGCTGGTTTGAGTGCTTCAGAAAACCTGGTTTGTGGAGGAGATTTGGGTGTACGTCAAGAACAAAATCACCCAACACAACAATAGCTACAGTATCCCAACAATATATATATATATACATTGACATGCACCCTTAAGTAATGAACCACCACCCTAACTTAGGGTGGTGGCTTAGGAAACAGTTCCATACGTGGATTGTTAGAGATATATAGATTGGAACATTCTATGATGTTCCGGATCTTCACAAAGGATTGATAGAGTTTGGTGACAGCCAACTTGCAGCAACCTGAGTTTTCTCCGAATGTCCGATGCTCTTCCGGGGGCGCCATCACTATCCACTCCAACGAGGGCAGATCTACCATGTTGTTTTCGTTCTTGTTCAGCTTCCCTAGCTTCGGCTGGCGTGCTTCAGCACTCAGGTATGGATTGCTGGTGTATTGCACACATTTGTCATTCCGACGAGGGTGTCTATGCCAAGTCGTGCAGCAAGACACTGGTGCTTCTGACGCAATGGGCTGACACTGTTCCCAAAGTCTGGATAGTGTAGAAACCACATCCAAAGAGCCACTTTAGATGGAGAAAATTTCGGAAGGAAACGCTGCTTTCAACGGAATGAATCTCTTCTCATGTAAAGCCTAAAAAGAAGCCAGCCTCCCACAAGAGAAGTGAACCACATTGAAGACACCAACACTCAGAACACGTTGCTTTGGGTAGTGGGTGGGATTTAGAGAACTGTTCTTACGGATTCCTGGAAGCTTTTCTTCCGGGGAGGGGACATGTTCATGTTTCTGTTTTTGTTGCAAGCTTCTGAACCAAGAATAGCAGGTCATATACTAGGGACATTTGTCTTGCTTTTGCTACATATATAGAGCTTCTGAACGAAGTGCAAACGGTATTGAGGTTTGAGATCATTTGACCAATCAAAACAAATAGGGCACACCTTCCATGACAGGCTACTTCTCCTCTTCTCCAGGTTCCATCATGCATTCTCCACGTATCATCATATGGGCATCGGCATGAATTGATGATGGAGCCAAAGAATTAACATGTTCTGCAACAACAGATGGATTCTTAGAGCCTGTAGTTGTTGGTGATGAATGATGGTATTTTTCGATCTGAAAGCATCTCCCCACCAGGTCTCTCAATATTTGACCATGGGCGTGGATCAGAAGGCGGCATCGGGAAGACACATCCGTGGTCACAGTTTGATGATTTATGAGGTTCGCATCTCACAAGTGGTTCACATGTTTGGGTGTTGATGTTCAACCAGCTTTCATTGATTATTTTTGGGGAGGAAGGGGTGGCAGATACCTTTTCAAAAAAATTGTGCAACCCACTTTACTTTGTTATGAAGCAGCTGGATAGCCAATGATCAATGGTAGTGGTTCAGCTATGTTGTCGCAGTGGTTGCCACGGAACACATCGAACCTGCACATGTTCCCAAGCTTCTCCATACTCTTTGGTGCTGCTAAAGTTGGTGAATTACTCTTGCAGGTTAACCAGGGAGCCCAAATAGCCGGCAACCACGGGATCACAGATATTGAGTCTTTTCTGAATGATGGCGCTTGCTCTCGATTCAGCACAAACTATTTGGTGCTTCGTTCACAAACACCATGAAGGTGCAAAAAAAGTTCCAGGCTGCCATTCCAGTCCACTCCACACTCAAATTGAGGCCGTCTTCAACCTCCACCACCCCACCCTCCGTGTCCTACAAATGTTGCATGTTTCTTTCACGCTCATTCCAACGCTTTGACTTTGACATGCCACGACCATGGTCCCTAATCCAAAGAAAGACTGCGCTATTTATGGAAATCCCAATCCCCTCGAACGGGTATGCCCGGTGTGCTGGGTCCGACCGACTGACCTCGAGGGCGCCCAGACATTTTTCCCAAGACAACCTCAAAGGCGCCTTCAGTGGCTTGAACTTGGGGATTCCGACGCCACACGACCACCGTCTTCCGCGCGTGGAGCGCCGCGCGGCGCGGATAGACACCGTGTTCGATCGCACGTGCGTGTTCGCAGGTGCCGGAGGCCATGGTGACGTTTGTGACCGCTGGGCAGGAGGCCACTGCCACCACCAGGCGGAGGGGGGCAGGAGCAGTTAGGGAGAGGGAGAGGGAATTGAGGAGTTACAGGAACTCATGAGCTGGGTGTGAAATGGTGTGGAGACATCGCTCAGGTTTGCTTTTTGTTAACTTTAGGGCCTTCTTGAGCCTTCAGATGGTGAGAATGTGAGGAGCGGTCTCACAGTATAGAGAGAGAGGGAGAAAGACACACACACACACACAGCCGGTAAAGCAGCAATCTCTGGTTGGCAGGTGATGTGCTAGGTCCCTAGGTTGCCTTTTCGACTCGAGAGCTGGCTGGAAGCAGTGCTGGCTTTGATCTAGAATCTACATCAACATCTGAACACTAAAGAGGCGCGATGCGACTGTGGGACTGCAGTTCAAAACTCTAGTACAAAGTTTCATCGATGCACAAGCAGCTGGGTCTTATGATGTCTTATGGAAATGGAATCATTTTTTTGTCATGTGACCAGTTTTATCCATGATCCATGATTCCACCCAGAATCCATGTTATCAGTTGGACATGTGAGCTGATCTGCTCCCTTGATCCTGTGCCCCAGGCAACAAGAAGAGGCGGAGGGCGAAACCGACTTCCCTCTGCTGCGATGGGAGGATAGCAGCAGGGAGCCTTAGTTGGCAGCAGTCCGGAGCTGTTTGCAGAGTCAACTCCTTGAACCGTCACTGGGTTTCGGCGGTTTCGGCCGGTGCTGCTGTGAATTGACTCTCATGCCAATGGATGCAAGGGGTGAACCACTCACTGATTGAAATCATCCTAAAAACCAACTATACGCTTTGATACCATGCTTAGACTGGCTTACCCAACACCCCTTCTCAGAAGTGTTGCAGCAATTTTGCTATGGGAGTGGTTGATCCGCAATCACACAGAGGGTTGCGGATTGCTTGAACCTGCGTTTTGTGCATTCAGGGAGCGGCAACCTAAGGGATTTCTTGTGTGCTTGTATCCACCCAGAGGGATTCAGAGGGTCGGTAATTACTCACAGAAGAACCATTGTCTCAAAAGATCAGGCACACGACCCAAGTCCGTCTAGTCTCCCAGAATTGGTTTACACAATTTGAGAACATCTACAAAACCCAACAACCGTAGAGATGTTCCCTGAAACACCGGATTGGATCATCTACCAGTTCGCCCGGGTGCGTCCGGGCGGACCGGACCGAGGCCACGATTGCATGCTCTTCTCGAACCGTCAGCACCAGGCGGGCGGACACCGCCGGAGTGACTGGGAGTGACTGGGCTCGGCTCGGTGGACTAGTGGTGGACAAAGAGTGACATGCTGCTCAGATCTTCTTGTGGGGCCACAGATCTGCCTGTGACCCTTTAAACTTTAAAGTTGTTTTTTTTCTCCATGATTTGCATTGCGAGCTTATCGCGGCAGGATTTGGCACTTATTGCAACTTATACCCTCAGTGCATTTTTGTGCATGGGATTTTTGAGGCTACCTTGATTGCAGATGGGTCACGGCTCTTGCAGATTCTGGATTGAAGGGATAGGACACATGTAGTAACTGTTTTACCAGCTTGCTCTAGCCGGCAAGCATATTTGAATCCCTCTCGCTACTGTCAGGGTTTAAGTCGTGCTTGTTTTGCCAGTTATAAAGGACATCGCAGCAAGTGAAGCTGCGATGCAACACCAAAAACAATCAATGATATCAATGTGTTTATTGCATTTCGCTCAGTCAAATCCTCTTGAATCAATTCGACGAGATTCCTCATGCCGCGAACTACCATGTGTGGTGTTTGTTCAACGGAGGCTTTAACATGTCAACTGGAGGTCTGCCCTGTCAGAGCACCGAACCACCAGTGACTCTCACTCCGCGGACAGGTTTGTTTCCTGTCCTCGCAACCTTCAAGGCCCGTTTCCTGGGTCGAACGAATGAGGAACTCCTGAGTGGAGGTGCTTTCTAGTTGGAACTGAGTGGAATCAGCTTGGAGTTGCTGAAATACACTCAATTTCTTTGCCTTAACACATTGCATCGAAATGAATTCCCCGATGTTTGAACGAGAAGCACGCCGGCCTGCTGTTCAGCGAGAAAGTCACGGTGTCTGGAGCGGTTGTGCACAATTTCTTTGAATTTCTCGCCTATACCACCACAACGTTTATAGTGGTTCCAGTGGTTCCCTTGATTTCAATCACCACTGTGTGATGATTCCGTCTTGTCATGGTTGTGATTTAAAGCATAGACTTCTCACCTCCCACCGACACAGGGCTGCCTCGAGCAGCCTCATGAGCCCCATGTTTTTTCCTCTCAGAGGCTGCGTATCTCGATGCACCCTGGGCTGCTGCAGCTTTTAGAGCGAAACCGCGTCTCAGCAACTTGGAACGAGGATCAGGTCTCGCGCCAGCGAATAAAAAGCGCCAGAAGCGTGCGAAACTCGCACGAAACGGAAGGCCCCCCCCGAAAATGAGCGCTCAGCATGGGGGATTCATCCAGGTGTCTTGTTCATCAACCACATTCGTTGGGAAACGAGATGACCAGCATGTGAGGCTGGATCTTTCGCTCCCTGTGGCCGCGGTATATTTTGGTATAGTCTTCACGCATGGTAGGATTGGAACACCATTCACAAAATAGCAATCGTTCATTCCTCCGCTGAGCAGCGCGGGCCACTGAGAAGAACGTCCAATACCTGAACTGCGTGGGACAATACAGAAAACTCACAAAAAGACTCTCCTGGGACTCCTCATCATGACCACAATCATCTACTGAGCAGACGATATACCCAATAAAGGCCCTGAGTGGCCTGGATACATGCATATTGAAGATATTGACAGTGATCGGGTACCCGGTTTATGTAAGTCGTCTGGTCTCGTAAGTCGTCTGGTCTCGACGCGTCTCCTTGGATGACTTTGGACGAGCCGGGTGACTTTCCTCTGTACCGTGCTGCGGCCCGGGTGACTTTCTGCGACCGATGAGGTGACTAGTCACCCCCGGCACCTGTACGCCAAAGAAATGGAACCTCTAACCCAAAAAGTGGTTTTGTTGTCGTTATTTTTTCTTTCTTTTTTCGTGCCTTTTCTGGTTCCATGTGGATCTTCATGTTTCCCACAGTATCAAATCGTCGCCTGGAACTCGAAAGAGGTTTAAAGCGCAAACCATAGTTCTTTGTCCAGAGCCGGTTTGTTTTGCAATTTCTTGTACCAGCACCCTCCAAGGGGTGTCCAATGGACTACTCCACACTACCTATAGGCTTCCATTGGGCACCCCTTAGAGGGTCCTGGTATGTGTCACTGTGTTTTTGTTGGCCATAATGGGGGTCCCACCCACTCTTCCTTGCTGTACTTCAACTGAGTTGGGACTTGCACTACTTCACCAGCTCTTTCCGGTCCAAGAGTCACACAGGTGGGCGAATCACTGGATGCCTTATCAGCGGACCACACCAAAGTCTTAGGCCTGAGGGCGACAGGGCGACGTGGCCAGGTGGCCAGGGTAGATGGAACGAATGTGTGTGTATTTTTGGTGGTTCTTTTTCGTCATACGTCATATGCCGATTCTTTTTTGTTTAAGACCGAGGACCCACACATCAACACATCAACATCTTCGTCCCCGGCACGTCCACCCGGTCAAATCCGCCGAAGCCGCGGAGGTTGCCTTACCGGAGTGAACCGGACGCTCGCAGACGCGGCCACCCTGCTGGATGGGAAGTACTGCCTCACAGGTGGGGACCGAGCGAAGGCAGAAAGGGAACGTCGTGTAACGCCTAACGCGTTTTCGGAAACGGCGAGGGCAGCGTGGCAAGATGGACTCCGCTTTTACCTGCCCGTTTGACTGCCATGTCAATGTCCCAGAAATTGCGACCATAGGACGAGTGTTTGGTTAGAAAAGTAGATCCCCGCTAAACATGTAGACAGGACCACTATAAAGACCCCAAGACACCATCTGATCATGGTTCTTGATCGGGTCGTCCGTCCACCGACACACCAAGGTGATGCGGTGTTGAAGATGTTGGCGATCTTCGTGCGCATGCGATGTGGTCTCCCTGTGTTGCGCGGCGAAAGAAGAACGTTGGGCAAAAGAGTTTGTCTTTGCTTTTTTTTCTGCTTGTTCTGACCTTTTCAGGTTTGTGATGTCCAGACGAAAGCACACAAAGGATATGTTGCATGTTGTCCGTTGGAATGAGACATTCTTTCGAAGCCCTGTGGAGGGGTATGTGGAACTGAACATCCAGGTGGTTTAGTAGCACTCGCCGGCGGGACCGGCAGCTCTTCAGGATCCTCATGGGTGAATGTGGCTGTGGCAAGACGGAACTTGTCCGGTACTTGTGCGCCTGGATGCGTTTGCCCTTGCTCACGCTCAATGTGCACGGTGGCACCACCGAAGATGACATGGATCAGGCCACATCAGAGATTGTTGGTAGGGGAAAAGGTGGGAGTTACATGTTCATCCGTGAGGGTGACTTAAATTAGTGACCATATCGGGGTGGCTCGCTTTGTGCATGCAGATGTGCTCAGCTTGAGGGTGATTAGATGAACAACAGAGCGATTGCCTTTGCTTCACCCAGCTCCACACAGGTCTTTCGGGAGGCCAGGACGATGGCGGAGGAGGAAAGTGCCAAGGAGGGTGAGATGCAGCGCAGATGTGGGTGGGGGTTGGGAGTAGGAGAATGTAGGACATTTTCTTCAGAGGTTCAACCCAACCGGAAATGGAAGAAACACTGGTTTGATCTTCGACATTTCCTTTTGACCACAGGAGCAAGAATTGCCAAGTTCAATTCAGATGCAGCTCATTTTCCAGGCTGCTGGTCCAACTGTCAGGGCAGGTGCTTGTGGGCAACACCCGAGAGGGTTCCTTCAATGCTTTGTCGGAAGAGCAGATGAGACGGATTCCGCTCATACTGTATCTAAGTAGTCGTCACCTTCAAGGCATTGACAGGAACTTCCACAGGCCTGGGGTCGAATTTCAATCATTGCACCTGGACGCTGACAATTCTCCTGTCGGGGATCTTCCATGTCTAGAGCCTGGTGACTCATTGTATCTCACTGTGTCACATAGCCCATTTCATCCAATGAATTTGACCTACAGTACGATCCGCACCTTTTTTCTTTTGGTCCGCCTCTAAAAGGACGGCTTGGTGGTCTTCTTGGACGAGATCAACACCTCTCAGCATGTGAACATGCTATGCGAGGCGCGAGAGTGAGAGGCCCAAACAGAAGGATCACGAAGGCCCAGTCATCAACAGGTCAGCCCAGGGCAGCTGACTTACGGAAAGTGCACGGATCATTATTGATGCAGCCAATTTAGCCAATCATCAAAATGTGGACTGGGACGGCCGACTGGGACGGCCGAGAGATTTGAAGGCTTGCTTTGCGGAAGGTGTGTCAAACAGAATTCTTTAGACAGATCTCACTTCTGACAGGCGGTGCTGGAACGCTCCTACCGCTTCTCGGACACGTGTAGAAGCCACTTTGGGTGGGGAGAAGAGAAGATCAGGTTCTGAGCAGCTTTCTTGGCTATCAATCCAAGGAACAACAGAGCACCTGTCTTTATACAATTGACACTTGAAACTACAGAGATTCCTGTATGGCCTTTGCGGCGTAGCCGTCGACGGGCGTGGGTTGCTGCGCCGTTCGGGTCCGTTCCTCGAGGTGGCTGCGCCTTGCCGGAGACGGTGACGGTGCTGGCGGCCTTGAACCCGCGCCGGAAGCGGCCACAGGCGCGGTGAAGCTGGAAGAGTCAGAGGCGAAGAGACGGGGGGTTCCAACCAGCGATGAGCTGGTTGGTTCAAAGCATGTATTTGTTATTTTAAATGTTTTTTTGCAAGTATCGGCATCATGTGGAAAATGGATGAACTTGCGTGACATTGACCAACAATCGTATACAATTGTGAAACATTGTGAAGTACTGCTGCAATTTTCATACTTCTAAGCGGTCAACCGGCACGTGAACTTGTGTTTGATTTGTGATTTTGGCTCAACTGGTGTGTGTGGGTCTGGGTTCAATCTTAATGACCAAACTCCCTCTTCTGGGCGTTCCTTGAGGCCCTGAAAGGCTGGCAGGTGATTGTTATTTTCTTTTTCAGGGTCTTCACCTGAGATGGAAAAGAACATGACTGCAGTCCCAATATGGAGAGACATCCAGCAGTCCCCATGCGCTCCGAAACCTGCCTCTAATTTGATATTTTTTGAACCACATAAGTCAAGGACTTGTCAAAATCACGGTGCACACAGGACGCACAAACTTCAGCCGCAGAAAAGAGATACCAAAACTGGTAGGGGCGGTGCTGGTAGAGAGGAAACCTCTTCTTCCCAACACTCTTATTGTGACAGTTGCCAGGTCATTTGTTGAAACCTACAGCCTACAACATGAGACAGTGTCCCGGAAGAAGGCTTTTGAGGCTTTTGAGATTACACACCAGGTCCTGTAATCTGAAAAGCCTTCTCATGAGGCCCAAATGACGACGGGCTTGGTCTATGGCGCGGGTGGTGCAGAGGACCTGCAATGGACAGGACATTGATTGAGGATGGCAGACGATCTGGTACACCAGCCATTGGGACTGTCTGTTGCATAGATGGATTTACTGTAGAATCAATTATTCAGGGGATTTGAGTTGGGGGATAGAGATACCAATATATTGGGTCTGTCCTATTACCTGCAACAGTCTGTTAACAATGATCACTATTTTAGAGAAAGGCCTTTACGAACCATCATCATCCACTGTTACTGGTAATAGGATAGACCCAACCAATATAGTTTATGATTACATCTAGAAAAGTTACTGTAGGCTTCCAGACAATTGACTCAGAAGTGGCATCGGTGACCTTGAAGAACGAGGAAGGCTTCTCCGGTGGGAGACATTCTTGAAGTTTTAGGAGTAAGAATTGATTCAGACTTTCCCTGAAATATTCGCAGTGAAGTCCCACCTGTTTGGTATAGAATGGGATTTCCTGGTCCCAACTTGGGGGGGCCTTTGGTCCGCCGACCGGCATCGTTCAGGAGGAGATGTCCAGCTTGGTGTACCGAGTTCACTCGGTGCCCGAGACGGTGAACGACTTCCTCTTCGACTTCGGAGTGACTCGGCGTGAACTCGGCGGTGTTTCTTGGGGTGGGCAGGATATCTCGCGGATGGGAAGAGAGGCTTTGGGGCTTTGGGGAGTGAAAGAAAGTTCGTTTCTGAAAGCACATGTTAAGACATGAAGCATATCGGTTCATTGCAACTATCAGTACTTCCACCATGTTTCACCTTCTAATTTTCTCTAAGAACATCTAAGAACTGTGGGTGCCCAACAAGTGTGACCCTACATACCCCACTTAATGACTTGATGCGCCATCGGTGTGTATCTCCTTTGGGCTGACCTAGCCTCCAAGAATGATAGTTATCTTTTTTTTAAATACTCTTCCTGCCGCCATGGCGGTCACAAGCCGATCAGATGCCCTTCGTGATGCCAGAAACTTTTCGTTGATGCGCTCTCAAGAGTAATCATCAGTTGATCGGAAGGCTCGCAGCTCGCAGCGCAGATGCCGACGCGGACGAGAGTTATGCCTCCCCAAAAAACTGTGTTTCACTTCAGAATATCAACTCAGAAAGGATCTACAACCTCTATCAACCTCTACTTTCAGGGTGCTGATGGGTCAGTTATTGGGCCTGTCACTATCAGCAGATCATCACGAGATAGATGAGCGAGATGACACAGCCATGTGGTCGCGACCTGTGATGCTGCGGCTGGTGGTAGGTTGCCAGCTGGGGGGTGGCAAAGGAGAAGCAGATGCGTCAGGAATCGGTTGGTTTGTCGGAACACATGTCGTGTGTAGAAGAATTCAATACTGCTTGCCCAATGAGGTGGAGTAGCACTGGCTTCACAAGATGGCGTACGCTTATACGTACAATCCCATGTAGTAATGCCCTTTGGTAACAAGTGCATCGCTACTAGTAACAAGGGCATTACTACTAGTAACAAGAAGCTACTAGTAGCGATGCCCTTGTTACTATGGTTCTTGGTGCAAGGGGGTGCGAAGTGTTATTGAATCAAGTGCTCCAGCGCAAACGGGTGCTTTTAAGCATATTCAACAGCGACATTGGGTGCATAGAACGATCCATTATATCTCCACCCGTGCAATCCCAATCGAAGGATGATCAGGATGGCCGTGCCAATCGGGACAGTTTGTTGCCCACTCTGATTCTTCCACTCCAGGTTCTATGGTGAGTGATGATGGACGTGTGTTTCTCGCACTCTAATCCTATGGACCCGCATGGACCTGGATTGATGATTTCTTGAATACAACAACCATCAGCTGGAACCCTTTGGACCGGACATGACCGGGCACACCCCGCTCTGAACCCAATATCCCAGATCCACAGAAACTCAGACTTAGAGCCTTGAATTCAGAACTCCGGCTTCCCTCTTCATTTTGACATGCCAGCCACGCTCGTCTCAGCCATTTGACGCCCAAGCCATCGTGGCACCGCGCGGCAACCATGGCTGCGCCGCCCGTGGCGCCGCCCGTGGCGCCGCCCGTTTCCATCGGAGCCACGCTGGCGGCGGAGTCCGAGGAGCCCAGTCTGGAGTGTCTCGGATTCGGTTCTGGTGCTCATGTTTACTGAGCGGAGCGACCCGGAGCTGGGGAGCGACCCGCGGCTCTCCATAGATTCGGAGCGACCCACGGGAGTTCACTCCCTAAGCCCGACAGCTACTGTAGTTTTGGGTGGTGGGATATTCTGAGGGTTCTTTGGGGCTCTAAAGTGAGGGGTAACGGATTGGGGATATTTGCTGTGACTTCTTCCGTTCGTGAGTGGAAGGGGGGGAGGTCTTGATATTTTCCTGGTTCAGTGTGGGGTTTGGTACGACAAGACCAGTCAGTTTAACTTTTACGGCTATACTTTCACGGGAAGCGAGTCTTGAAGATTTCAAGAGAAGCTTCTGTATCCAGATCTTGAGAACTTTGTCATTTTCATGTCATCTTCCACGGTTAGCACCTGAGTGTGTTGGTGAATAGAGGGCCCTCCAACCATCAGGCTGCGATTGGTATGTGCATGTATGTGCCCAAGTGCACGCTTCCATCCAGTTTCTAGTGTTCTTCTAAGCGGTATTTGGATGTATTTGGAGAATTTCAATCCTTGAACCATCACAGAAGGGTGTGAAGACACCAGCATGCCTTATGTAGTCCCAATAAATCTTCTAACCCAATCCACATGCAGATTCAGGGTGCAATCAGTATGCTCATAGCCACGTTGACTACTTCAAATTGTACTGCTTGACATCACCAGATTTCATCATAAGAATTTCTGTACTAAGTGTATAGTATAAATATATATACTATTCCACCAAGCTCGTGTCCCGCTGATGCCTTCTGTTTTCCCCATGTTCAAAATGGACCTCTTCGGCCCAGCTTCGTCCCGCCGGAGGCCCCCCTCGTCGCCCGGCTCCTCGGTGCTGCGAAGTCAAATCCAGGCGGGTCGGTGGGCGTTTTCGTCGGTGGTGTGGGCGTTTTCCACCGGGAAGTGGGTCCAAATGAGAAAAACATGGAGTTGAAATGGCGTTGAAGTGGTCCGACCACGAACGAAATGGAAGTGGGTCGGACCCGAACTGTGGTGTTGAAACAGGGAGTTGGAGGTGGGTCCACCAGGAGACCAGAGATGAAACACAGAGATAGGTGGGGCGGGTTCGCTCCCGCCTCCGGGAACTTTGGCACGTGAAGCCACCACTGCTGGCGACACTGGTGACCATGCAGTTTTCTTGGTAGCTACGTTTGGGTGGGACTCCTGCGAGGGTTGACAACGGACAGCGCTCTGGATTGTCATGGGTACTGGATCTGCTGGGAGTGGGACACCGTACTTACATACATAATCATAAATAGAATGCACGATTAGGAGGAGGTTGAGTCCTCGCATGTTCCGTCGCCCCGCAATGGAACGCTTGATTCTTTGAGTATTTGCAGTCTTTCGAGATATCACTGTCCTCAGTTCAACACACAAAAGAAGAGATGAAAACAACTTGTTGAATGCATGTTTACACGTCTTTGCCTTGTTCCATTCGAGGCAGCCGTGCTGGGAGATCATTTGTCTATCGAACTTCGTGTTGATCTCGCGCTCTCGCCGCTTCAAGGAGACGATCCAAAAGATGGCGGGGCTCATCTCGCAGATGGACGTGGTGGAGGAAAAGGTCTTCCGGGCCACGGATGCCTCCAGCGCTTTAAGGCCTGAAAAGGGGGAGATGGTTGGAGATGGTTGGATGGTTTTGTTGTTGGATGGTTTGGGCGGAGTGACAGTGGTGACAGTGAGGATGGTCACGATTGTGGATGGTACTGGGCTTTTGACACTGGTGCAGCTCCCGAGGTCGGTCCAATTTCGAGTGGCCCTTTTGGGTACAGGGGGAAGCAAGAAAAGTGTGTGGCAACAGCCAAGAGGACGGATGGTTTTCTCATCGCACCAGAGGTCGATCTTCAGGCTTCAGATACAGCGCATGTTTCAACCACCCCACATTGGACAAAAGATCAAAGATATACTATAGCTAGTACTATAGCCAGTCACTGGCCATCATTTTGATCCTCAAAGACCCAGTTCTGGACACCGAAAAAGACCTCCAGATCCAGAGGCGCTTCAGCCGGGGTTGGCAGTCGAAGTGCATGAATTCATTGAGTGGTGTGTGTGTGTGTGTGTTTCCCCTGAACATTCCATTGGAACGAGTCAAGAAAGCTACACGAACGAGTCAGGAAACCGAGTCGACGGGTTCATTGGACTTCGCTGCAGAAGCAGTATCTTCAGATTGCCTCATGGATGCCGCCCCCCCCCCAAATACCTGGGCTGTGGGGATTTATGACCATTTCACCTTCGAAGTCCAGTGACCGGCCTGACCCCCGGCCTGCCTCTTCTGTCTCTTCAGGCCGACGTTTGGTCGGTCGTGACGCCCAGGTGCTGTGGCCGGGCCCTGAATCCCAACTGCCGAGAGGATATGTGTCCCGGCGCACCGATGCGCACCGCGTGGGGCGGGATGAGGGCGGAATGAAGACAGTCCCGTGCTGACGGGATGAGGGCCCATTGGTTTGGGTCGCCAAAGCCAGCAAAGGCATTGAACATGTCGTTGAAACCAAACAATGTCATGAGTTCACTGCACTGTCAGAGGAAAAACATCAGAGTAGATCCGATTCTCTTGAGCTTTGGAGGCCTTCTTCCAGCTTTTCACTGACGTTTCACGCGCCAAAGTCATCAGTTTGTTCTCAATCAAAGAATGATGTTCACCAAAACACTGCATGGTGTCTACACAGGAAAGACTCATATGTCTCAAATTGTCTCAACAAAAACAGCGTTTGTAAATCATATCCGCCTATATGAAGGATCCGAAATCCATGGATGCAGGGAGTTCCTTTTTCAGCTTCCCACCATTTTGGGGAGGAATTCATTTCCCAGACCATCCATGCATGGAATATCATGGAATATATTATATGCCTATATAAACATTAACCCCTTGAATACAATCTTGGCCTTGGATGCCCCCTTTCTCATCGGAAATGCAAAGCTCAGACGCTCCTTTCGAGGTACGATTGGAGCTTCCCCACCCAGACGATCAATTGCTTCTGGAGCCATTCATGGCATGCAGAGCCGTGGAAACTCCTTTGCACTTGGCCAAACTTTGGCACCAAGTATTTGGAGATTACATAACTTTGGTCTTACTAAATAACACATGGTCTAATTTGATCATACATTGATCGACATACTTAATTTGCATCTACCAGTTGGCCAACAGTCACAACAGCAAGGGAGCAATCAGCACGGCCAAGGAAGAACTACTTTCTTCTTTTGGTCATGTACAACGGTCGTATGGCCGTATTGGCTGGTTCTTTGGCGGCCTTTCTAGCGATGCTGCTCTTCTATTTGGGCCTGGTGCCTTCGTACCAGAGAACCTTTGCAATTGAAGGCGCCGCCTATGATTTCGGCCCTTATGGCTTGAGTGCTGGTTGCATCGTGAGCGCTTGGGTACTGCTGCTGTTGCCGCCCAAGGGATCCCGGATTTTCCTGGACCGCATTTGTCGCCCGGATCCGATGGACGGGGCGAAGCGGCGGGGGGGGGGGGGTG